TTTACTCGAGTCTTACTTGTGACCATAACTTGGACTCCAATAATTTTGCGGAACAGATTCTTCGCCACAATAGTAATATTTCCGTATCTATAAGATATTCCCTTATTATGTGCATCAATTCGATGTCAGATTAGCCGAAGTTCCAGAGTTACGTCTTTAGTTTTTGTACATGACTATAGCCTCTTTCATTGAAAAGATAAGTGATGAATAAATACAAGCTAATTATATTTTTACTTGTTGTCATTCACTTCATTATTCTTCGTCATACCTGATTACTTTTACTTTAGTAATGAATATTCAGTTTCTATTGTTGATTGGTCAAAATAGTTGAAAACGTTTCGAAATCCAAAATAAATTCTGACATGAAGCCACTGGAAACATAGAATTCTATGCACCTTATTCCACAAAATGCGAGGTTGAACAATGCATTCAGTGTTGTAGAAAAATTAATTTCTGTGGTCATTCTTATGCAGCATGTACTCAAGCGTAGAAATTATGCCTCAGAAAAATTATTATAAAAGAATCGGTACATGCATGGCATTACTATATTCGTGAATTATATTATTATTCTTATTATTGTTCCCTTGGGTTCCTAGTGGAACATAGGGCTTCAGCTGCACGTCTCCACTTGCATCCATGTTAGTCCATACTGTTTCAACTCTTCTTCACACGATCTCCTCCATGTCACCCTTGGACGTCCCACTCGCCGCTTCCCTTTCGGGTTCCATCGAGCCGCCAGCAGCCTCCTCAGCGAGTGTCCAATCCATCTCCACTTTCTCCTGCATATTTGTTGAGCGATTGGTTCTTGTTTTGTTTGTTCCCATAGTTTTTGTTGGTGATTCTTTCCGGCCATCTGATCTTCAGTATAGAGCGAAGACAGCTGTTGATAAAGGTCTGCAAGTCTGTTGGAAATATTCTTTGTGACCCGCCAAGTTTCTGATCCGTATAGAAAAACTGACTGACTTGACGTTTGTATTGAAAATCCGAATTTTGTTGTTGATGGTGAGTGACGAAGATTTCCAGATTGGTTTCAGGTTGATGAATGTGTTTCTCGCCTTCCCGATTCTCGATTTGACATCCTCATCCGTTCCTCCTGTAGTTGAAACAATGCTCTCTAGATAAGTGAAAGAAGTAACCTCTTTCAAATCCCTCCCGTTGATGGTGATTGGCGCTGGATGTTGCTTCTGTTGTTGTTGTTGTTGGTTGGTTATTTTCATAACCTCCGTTTTGTCTATGTTCACCTGGAGTCCTGTCTTTGCTGCTACCCTCTTCAGCCAGTTTGTCGGTTTTCGCTTGTAAGTCTTCGATTTTGTGTGACATCAAACATAAATCATCCACGAAATCCAGGTCTTCTAGGTTCTTCACGTCGGTGCAGGATATCCCTGTCTTCTCGTTTCCCACTGTCTGACGCATAATCCAGTCCACCACAATTAGGAATATCATTGGTGATAATAAGCACCCTTGTCTGTCATTTCACATCTCCGATTCCAGCGAAAAATAAGGTTATTAGTTTATGATTTTAGAATTTTTAATATATTTGTGCGTTGAAGTTTCTGTAGCAATTTGGTTAAGTTTTGGGGGTGGAGTTGCTAGCACCACGCCCCAACCCTCCTTCTTTATCCGGGCTTGGGACCGGCTAGAAATCTAGTGAGCTAGTAATCTAGGCGAGGTTATTCGTGAATTAGCATAAGCGAAATGTTTTCCGTTGCGACTAAATGAGATTTAAAATAGAAACTGTGATAATGGCAGTTAAGAATTTCGTAGCAATTACAGTCGAATGTTTGTTACAGATAATTTTTCTAATAAAATTCACATCCTTTTCAACAAACATTTTTGTGACATAAGGTAGTTCATCTGAGACTTTAATAACAACGCATGTAGTTAAGTTGTTGTCTATGCATGTCATCAAGCAATATTTATATACAAATCGACTTGTCTTAATCCTATACAAGAGTG